AGGGAGATTGTGAGTTGCTTAAGGAAGGTTCTTTGAGAAGTTCAAGAAGATGGTTTGACAGCCTGACAATGACAGAAGCAGAAAAACCGAGGAAAAGCAGACACAAAAACTCAGTAATTATAACGATCTCAGGTATGTGAGCATAATCAGAAATAACTGATATGTATCAATAATCTCCAAGAACAGTGTTCCATGGCTATAAGACATAATATATACTGCTCATTATTATAGCCGTGAGTTGCCAGAAAAATGTTATATTACATTCAAGTAGTCCATATACAAAGACATAGAAAGATTCTCACCAAAACTGTTATTACTATTATTATTAGTTTCTGTGCTTTAAAGGCTTAAGTTTAATTAATGAATTAATGGGAAGATTAACTGTGTGGCATGACTTATTCACCATCCTTTGCTTACATTTTTCTGGGGCATCTACTATTAGCTAGGTACTGAACAAGGAGCTGGATCCATAGTGGTGGACAAATTAAGCACCATTGCTGTCCTGATGGAGGTTGCAGGATTGTACAGAAGATAGGCAGTTATCAAACAGGCAAAAAAAAGGAAATAGCATAACTCAATTTGTAGAAAAGTCTACAAGAGAAAAGAATATGGAGTGTGATAGAGAACTCAAGGGTCAGGGTGAGGAGGTATAGAACATGATATCTTAATCATCAGGGAGGGCCAGAGAACCTCTAAATTGTCATGGAACCAGCAATGAGATAAGGGGGAGCAAGAGAGGTTCAAGAGCAGAAACACTAGGGAAAGGATTTGAGATAGGAGGTTGACAGTGTAGAGGAGCTGCAAGGACCACAGTGTGACTGGAGGTCATACAGTGGGTCAGAGGGAGAGTGGAGTAACATGGAATTGAAGAATAAGGAGCCAGATCATGGAGGCCTTTGCAAACCACTGGAGTTTGGATTTTATTCAAAGTGTCATGGGAAACCTTTGAAGGACTTCAAGCATAGCCACTGGGTAACCAGCTCTAAGTGTCTTTAAATGCTTTAGTTATTTTTGTTTCTCTTTGCTTTTGCTTATATTTGTAGAAATGATGAAGGGATACTTCTGAAAATGTGTGGCACAGAAAGGAATCCAAATTTTAAGGGCCTTAAATCTTAAACAATTTGGGAGGCCCTCTTTAGGGAAAAGAACTCAAATTTACAAATATAAAATTAGGAACAGAGATATTCTTGGAAGGGCCCCATGGAAGTGAGGGACGCCAGAGCTTAAGCTTCATTGTGTCTCGTTATATCCACTCATTGCCTATATTGTGGAAAGGATTTTATAGATACTTCTGGCTTTAGGTGGGAACCAAAGTCGATTTTCAAGTTTAATTGTTTGGAGCATCCAATCATTATTCTTCAGAAACCCTGTCCTTTTTTCTTCCTTTTTTCCCCCTTCTTGGATCCCTCCACTGAATGCCCCCAACTCAAACAGCTCAAGTTAAAAACTCATTTTTGTGATTGTCTTATAACTGATTTGCAGTTTTTCTGTTGGACTATTTCATCCTTCCACATAAGTGTATTGGTCTTTTGTAGCAATATCTCTCTGAGGGTTAGCATGAGTGTATCTGAAATGGTATGGGACGGGGAAATGGAATGGAAAACAGTTGATATGATTTATGTATGTTAGCATTTTGGAGATTCCATTTTCTGAGGAAAAAATACACTGGAAATATTCCAGGAGGCTGTTATAGTGATGTTCCAAAGTTTCACTTTTTAAGATCAAAGACCTTGGGAAGTTCAAGGTGCTTTATTGGGTCAGAGCCCCTTCCTCTGTTTGTCTGACATTCTTATCTCCTTTGAAATCTTACTGAACACTCTTACAATCCCTTACCCTGTTTGTCAAGCTGTTTTACTATAAGAAATGGTGTCTATTCCATGAAATGCTCTCTCTAAAGAAATAGTACTCTGTGCTTTTATAAAATAGAGGGAAAGATGAGCTGGCTAATTTATTCCATTCCTAACGCTTTGTAACAAAAGTTGAAATGAATGAAAATGATTGAGTTTGTAGGCCTGGTCTGCAGATACAAAAAACTGCTGGAAACTGTTGAGTGTGGAATGGCTTTAATTTACTGCATGGATCTCAGCCCATGATATGCTGCTTTTTGTTAACTTTCATAAAAGAGAAAGAAATACAGAGAGCAAGAGCTTTCAGAAGGGCTGTAGTTGAAAAGAAGCAGTACATGAAGCTCTAAGATTGTGACTTACATTAAACAATGGGGTATTATTCTGGTAGGAGGGAAGATGATGGGGACAGGTCTGTGGGAGATGTGGAGGGTGAGGCTGACAGACTCCTCAGTGGGAACTGGGACAGATTACATCCTGGTTTTCCCCATTGGCAGGAAGGCCTGGAGATGCATGGGGCAACCTAACCTAGGACTTGCATGATGAATCAGGAGGTCGTGAGGATACCGTTTCACTCTCTACACCAAGAATACTGTCCCTGTATTTTCTGTATGTGACTTCAGTATCAATGTGTTTGATATTGCCTGGACTAAAAAATGTTAATGTTCCTTTTTCTACTCCAATACTGGTGGTTCATTAAGATGGATATGATGGGGTCCTGCGTTGATACCACATAGGTGTAGGTGGAGAACATCCTTCAGTACACCTATTCTTTGCTCCTAGTTTTCACATTTTGATTTAATTGCACAGCATTGTGCTGCTGAGAACTGTAACTCCAGCCTCCCACAAAGTACTTGAGTTGGGCATCCTGGATGATTTATAGCAACATTTAATCATCAGGCCTTTGGTTTCCATGTCTTGTAAATACAAAGAAAGCAATCCCTGTCCCCATCCCATGGAGAGGACAGAATGGTTATTCATGTCTTATTATCACATCCTTAATCTTTTCCTTCTTCTTCTTCTTTTTTTTTTTTGTGGGTAGTATTGAAACCATCTGGGCTGCTTTGAAGTCAGTTTATTTTACTAAATTAAACTTTTTCAGATTGTTCTCTTTTTCTTTACAGGATGCCATGCAGCATTTAATTAATTCTGGCACAAGTACACCTGTGTTTATAAATCTGACAATTTATTCTGTAGATGAAGGAAGCTGGAGTCCGAAATTTGTACCAAATTAAATCTGTTGGTAGGCTTTGGGTTTTTTTTTCCTTCTTGATATTATTTTAAATTAAATGTTTCCCTGTGTGGTTAAATATCTTTGGCTTTCAGTATCAGTTTACTTAAAGAAACAGTGACTAAAGACATAGGACTTATAGTCAGAGAGAACCAAGTTCAACTTACTGTATGACCTTAGGAAAGTCAGTTTATCTTTATGGGCCCTGGTAGCCTCATGTGTAAAATGGTGATTGTGGGAGCCGCGTCCAAGATGGCCCCAGTGATCCCTGCCTCCTAGTATTCATGCCGCATGTAGTCTCTTCCTATGTTGAATAAGGTTGACTTGTTCAACAAATAAGATAGTGTGGAAATGATGGTGTGTGACTTCTGAGGCTGGGTAATCAAAGGTGTTGTGGCTTTTGCCTTGCCCTTTCTCTTGGATTGCTCAGTCTGGGGAAAGCTAGCAGCCATGTAGTGAGGATAGTCAGGCAGTCCTAGGCACAGCCCACATGGCAGGAACTGAAGTTTCCTGCCAGCAGTGAGCACCATGTACGTGAGCTATCTTGGAAGCACATACTCTAGTCTTGGTGAAGCCTTCAGATGTCTGCAAACTTGGCCAATGTCTTGACTGTAACCTCATGAGAGAGTCTCAGCTAGAAACATCCATTTAAGTCGTTCCCCAATTTCTGACGTACAGGAACTGAGAGAGATAATAAATGTTGATTGTTTTGAGCTACTGAACTTGGGATAATTTGCTCCACAGCAGTAGATGGATGATACAATTATAATGACAGTACCCCCTAGTAGGATTGTTGAGAGGATTAAATGTGACACTGCAAAGGCTTTGCACAGAGTCTGGCACATAGTGTCATTCAGAAAGATAAAAGTGTTAGTTATGGATGGAACTTGACACTTGAGGATCAGTTCTTCTCTCCAGCACCTGTATTCCAAAAGCTTTATGGGGGCTCTGCATTTAGATGATAAATCATTCCAGATTTATAGCCAGCTCTTGAGTGAATGGTAAATTGGGTGACATATCTGATCCTTATGTCCTGCCTCACATGTTCTTATCTCACTTTTCAGTTTCAGCCTTGTGTTGCAGTCAGCTACAGGGCACTGTTAGCCTGATGGCCCTGCTTCAGCTGCACAAATGCCTCTTGCTCTGTCCTGGGGCAGCTTAGTGCACATTAGCATGTACGCTTTTAACTGTTTAGACGCGTGTGAGAATCTGAACCTATTGGAAATGGGAGGTGGTGGGTAAATACTCCCTCTTTCCACCCTTTGGCTAGATCATACTAAAGCACCCTCTATATGGCTTCTTGGAGTTGTCCCTTGTGGAATGGAGATCTGCTGCCCACAGTGGAGGTCTGCTCAGCAGTGCTCAGTAGTGCACCTTTGGATTGATTGGTTTTCTCTCCTTCATCTCACTCCTTCCAGTCCCCCACTCCTGTTCCTTGGGCTCACTGCCTAAAATCAACTATCTGCATGCCAGGCTGTATGTCTCTGGTTCTGCCCCTTGGAGGTTACCTTAGGCTGCAACAGATGGCTCTAGTAAGAGTTGGCTGAGTGTTGCTTGCTTTATATGTGTTCCTGAAACCATTACCATGATACCTGCTTTTACTCCCTTCAGTGGTTTTCTACTGTTCTCAGGAATAAGTCTTAAACATCTCACACAGTGGCAGGGACCTCCACAAACTGGGTCCTAACCATACCTTCAGTCTCCACCCCCAACTTCTCCATCCTCTCCTATCTCTTCTCTACGTTGGCCTTACTGGGCTTTGTTCAACAATTCCTTTTATGTGACAATCTTTCTGTTGCCTCTGAACCAAGAGCATGCTATTTCTTCTTACTGCTTGGCCAACTGTCACTCATTGTTCAGACCTCAGCCTAAATACAGTATCCCCAGGAAGGCCTTGAAGATGTCATATCATTTTATTTTATTTTTAAAATATGGAATGCTTCTTGAATTTGCATGTCATCCTTGTGTAGGGGTCATGCTAATCTTCTCTGTATCATTCCAATTTTAGTATGTGTTCTGCCAAAGTGAGCACTTGAAGATATCATTTTAAATATCCCCATATCAATCTGAATTTCTTTCTTAACACCTATTGTACTTGTATTTTCTTAATGTTCTCATTTCCTCCTTGAATGTCAACTTTATGAGGCCAGGGGCTATGACTTTCCAGTTCTCTATTGCTTAGTGTTTGGCTTAGAGAACATTTCAATAAATGTCTATTCAGTGGAAGAAAGAATTTAGGCAAAATTCACTTGGCTGATAAAATATCTGTGTGGGGGGCACCTGGGTGGCTCAGTCGTTAAGCGTCTGCCTTTGGCTCAGGTCATGGTCCCAGGGTCCTGGGATGGAGTCCCACAATGGACTCCCTGCTCCGTGGGAAGCCTGCTTCTCCCTCTCCCTTGCTTGTGTTCCCTCTCTTACTGTGTCTCTCTCTGTCAAATAAATAAAATCTTTAAAAAAAAAAAAACCTGTGTGGGTTTGTTTTTTTTTTTTTTTTTTGCCTTAGTCTCTCCCTTTAAAACACGAATCCTATCCAAAAGGGCCTCCTCAAGGTGCTGAAACAAAATACTACTTTAATAGCAAAAATGACAAATTTGTTGGTAGTAAAAGGATTAATTTTACAATTACCTTTCTTTTTTTGTCATTATAAAAGGCAGTATCTTCGGCTGGCATCAACTGACTGACAAGCTCCCCTAGTACTTTTTTTTTTTTTAGCAGGGGGAGGGGCAGAGGGAGAGGAAGAGAGAGAATCTTAAGCAGGCTCCACACCCAGCATGGAGCCCAATGCAGAGCTTGAACTCACAAACCTGAGATCAGACCTGAGCTGAAATTAAGAGTTGGACACTTAACTGACTGAGCCTCTCAGATACCCCACCCCCAGTACTTTAGATTATAATTCAGTTTACAACATTTGATTGACAGACAACTTTTAGAGATCATCTTTATTGGATATAGTCTACCTCTGCAAAAGTAAAACTTGTAGTTTTAATTCATGTAATCTAAGCTCTATTTAAATAGAACAGACTTTTTGCTTCTAATGTATGTAGAAAGAGCACCCATTTGATGGGTCAATACGACACGAGAGGTGCCCATCCTGGGAAATCTAGCCTTTTCAGAAACAGCAACACAATTCAGATGGCAGAGGGTTGCATCAGGATTCTGCTTGTATATTTAAGGATAGAGTCTTTATGAATGTGATCATGCGTGAAAATATATTAGGGTAAAGTCCCATCTTGTATTAGCTGGCATCATATGGTCTAAATTTGTAAACAAATACTAAAAATCTGATATCATATCAGAATTGACTTATGGTACAGGTAAGAAACCTGAACAATGCTGTACTTAAGACAAATTTCATTGATGAATATGTTTATAAAATGGAAGTCAACTCTGTGGTAGATCAGTAATGCACAAAGATAGCTCCTTTGATATTTTGCAAAGGGCTGTGTACTGAATTTATTATGTCCTTGGCAGTGATAAAGATCACATAGTTCATGTAGCAGGAAACCACTCGTTCATTTAACAGATATTTATTGTGTGCCTACTATGTTCCAGGCACTTCTCCGGGCATATGAGATACCACAGGAGCAAAATATATCTTAGCAAGTTCCCTTCAAGAACAGATTTTGCCATGACAAAGGGATTTGCAAAACCACATGGAGAGGAAATGGTTGACATCATTGGGAATTAGTGTTGGTCAGGCTGCAGGAAATTGTCAGCAGATTTCCCACGGTATTTTCTGAAGAATGAGGATCTTCCAGAGCGGAAGCAGTGTCATGCATTTCATCTAGATCCAGCTGTTACAGCAGTTTATTTGAAGACTCGAAATGTTCTTTTTCTCTAAGGAAATTGAGATATCATTGAACTAAGTTAATTGAATTCAGGTCTCCCTCAGCCACAGGGTTTCCCCCTGGTGGAGGTGACCCCTCTTTCCTCTCCCTAGGATCAGGGGAGACTTAGCCAGACAGTGAGTTGTTGCTGAAAACCCAAGAGCAATTGATCATGGACAAAGAAGACAAAGGCTATAGGGAATCATAGAAATTGAGGACAACCCACATTTTAATCTAGATCTGATAAGGTAAAGTACATTAGAAAGTAATTCCTAGAACAAAATGAAAGCAATCTTGAATGTCCAATCTAGATCAGAGGTTCGGAAGCTTGGGTGCGTATCTGAATCACCTGTGGTAAAATGAGAGCTTCTTCACCCTAACCACAGCAATTTTGATACATACTGAAATTTGAGAACCACTCACCTGGATGTTAAAATCCATTTGGTGATGAACTCTCCAGTATACTTCCCCAAAGATTTCCAGAGTCTTTGGGTAAGATACTAACACTCTATGCTGCCTGAGATGGACTCCTCCTTTTATTTCTAAAAAAAACCTGCATAACAAATTTTAAAAATCACAAAAATTACAATGTAAATTCTTGCTGGTTAGTAAGATTTAGTTAACTAAGGAAATGTACATGACTATGGGTGCTGTGGTTCAATCTTAGATCAAGTATTCCTTTGATTAATTGGGAAACTATAAATATTTTCATTTGCATTAGCCAGACACTACAGTTAGCGTCTGAGTTTGGACCACTATGTAACTAGAGATCTTTAAACCTTAAAAGAGCTTTTATTTAAAATGTATGCCAAAAGTATATGGAATCAAGAAAATCACTTAACAGTGGGAAGATGGGAACTGCGTTAATGGGGTTGTTATTGCTATTTGGTAAAGTCAGTGGTTTGGATGACTTAAATCCAAAGAGAATCTTGTGGGTTTTGTTTTCTCTCCTTTGTTACTCAATTTAATGTATTTCTTAACTAAGAAACAAATACCTTTAACAATACTAGATTATAGGGGTGCCTGGGTGGCTCAGTCAGTTAAGCGTCTGCCTTTGGCTCAGGTTATGAACCCAGGGTCCTGGGATCGAGCCCCACAATGGGCTTCCTGCTCAGCAGGAAGCCTGCTTCTCCCTCTCCCACTCCCCCTGCTTGTGTTCCCTCTCTCACTGCCTCTCTCTCTGTCAAATAAATAAAAAAAAATCTTTAAAAAAAAGAATGCTAGATTATATAGATCCTTGGTAGCCATGTCTGCAAAGATTTCTTCCAGAAAGATGGTGGGAACAATTGTTCCTTTGATTCTGCCTCCCAGCATTCGGAACTTGATATATGTATTTTATCTTTTGCAGCACATCATTCTATTGCTAAAATTCTTTGAGTTTTTCTTTGCAAAAAGCCATGGAAATTTACTAGGGTAAATCATAGATCATTGCGGTAATTGAATCCAACAAACTGAAATTGCACAAGAAAATGAATATACAAATTAAAAAAAATTGGCAGGTCTAGTAATTATTTTACGTATTGTTTAGTCCCAAGGAGAAATGAAAAATAAGTTATGATTTGAGTTTTATATAGTGTAAGAAAATGAGGCTTTGAAGTACTAACAATTCAGAAACTCTCATAATCCCTGTCTAAAACAAAGATCTCTGTCTTCTGCAGTGTTTTCTCGAATTAGAAGCCTATGTTTACCAGCTGCTGTAAATCACTTTTTCCTTTATTATAGCATTTGACACTGTGATACCTTCAAGTGGGTGTTGCTTATCTTGGGAGGGGTGGTGAATGTTGAATGAATATGAGAGGGAATCATAGCTATTTAACAACGGTTTGCAAAGGTTCCAGGGTTCTAGGGAGGGAGCAGGAAGTATTAATTTAAAAACAGTTTGCAAAGCGAAAAAGAAGACAGAAGAAAAAAGCATTTTATTTCTTAATCTGTTTGGATTACCTCTAAGGAGATGAGTAATGAATGAAATTTGGGGTTAGTACACAGGAAGGGCTCTTAAGAGGCAGTCTAGACTTTAGGCTATCTTTTTCTTTTACAAAACTCCTCCTAAATTTTTTTTTTAGAGAAAGTTCTCTGCCATTCTTACACACTTTGAAGGAAAGGGAGTTAAGAAACTCTAACAATCAGTGTCGTGTCTAATAAACTTCATCAAAATTGTTTTCTTTGAAATATATTTTTTTAACTTCTCAGACTGCAATTTGTGTTTCATAGGATTTGTAGTCATTTTGCATCTTGGATTTGCATAGTTTACTTTTCTGTGTGTTTTAAAAAAAATTGGTCCAAGTCATTTTAAATTCTAAAATACTTTGCAAAGTCACTACCCTTTACTTTAAAATTTCAAGTTGTGTTAAGTTAGCCATATTTCTCTAAGCTTTCAACAGAGGTATCACTCTGTTGTCACTGGTACATTTTAAACTACTATTGGGAAAGATTTTCTAATAATGTTAGGTCTTCCATGTATCTTTCAGGGTAGTTATGAAAGTTTGAATGTAGGATTCACTTAAGATGGGTCTATCAAGGAAGGATGAATCCTCTGTATATCTCCTTAACTCCAGTGCTACATAAAAGAAGGAAAACAGTTTTAAAAAAAGAAATTTGTTTGGGATGCCTGGGTGGCTCATTTGTTTAGGGTCTGCCTTCAGTTCAGGTCATGATCTCAGGGTCCTGGGATCAAGTCCTGGATCAGACTCCCTGCTCAGCGGGGAGCCTATTTCTCCCTCTGCCTCTGCTACTCCCCCTGCTTGTGCTCTCTCTCTCTGTCTCTCTGACAAATAAATAAATCTTAAAAAAAAAGAAATTTATGTAATTCCTGTAAATAATATACACGAATACATTGCAGACCTTGGTGAGCATTACAAAAATTTCTTTACTGATCCCCTGAGCTTGAAAGCCAACTGCATTTCCTTTTCCTTAACAACTTCCACGCTCCAGGGGATGGCTCTCACTGTCTTCCAAGCACTTCAGACAACAGAATTTGTCACCTGCACTTGGCCCTTTACCTCAAGCTACCTCGGAGGCTATTTGCTGCTGCTGTAGAAAATCAGATTTTCCTTGATGAGCATTTTTGCCTGGCTGTGGAATGGGTGGGACTTCTCCCAGAAATGAGTATTTATTCTAATTTAATTACCAGGAGGCCCAGTTTCCTTGACTACCATGTCTCCATGGAGGCTGTGTGCAAGGCCTTTCCCTGGATTCCTTAGTTGCC